GGGACTTTATTGAAATTTCATAGAATCCTGAATATATCTAGAAGTGAAAATTAAATGGTTTACAGTATTTTATACCCATTAATAATGATGAAATGCAATAATATCACTGCACTAAAAAGACTTCAAACAATTATCGTTACTTCTCCATTGAAGGTTATGAGCAGACCAACCTTTACTGGCTTCCTTAATTATTACATGTACTTGCTCTGAAAACATAGCTTCTATGTACAATGAATACATTTTAAATAATAAATCTTACTGTATTAATAAAAAATTGTATTTGACAACATGAGAATGATTCTGATGCCCAGTGGTGATGTTGAAACAAACCCAGGTCCTGGTAATATACTAAGACTTGATTAACAAAGAAGTCATGTACATCAAGGTTCACTCAGATTTATGAATGCAGTTTCTTGAGCAAGTATACATGTATGACAAATAGTTTTGTTGCACTTGTGTACTCTGAGATTCTGAACATGGGTCAGTGGAAGTTTTTAGTTGTCAGTACAAAACTAGATTATGGGAAATCACTTTATGATGAGTTGTACCCACATAGAGTACATATTCATTCACCTGTTTGCAGATGTTCCTTGTACTACTTTATAATCAAATAACGGGGACTGTGACATTTCATGTCTTGTTCTTCATCTATTTCTCTTGCTATACTCACTAAATTGATTTTCAAATCATTTACCATTGGTTTCGTTGATAATATGGAATTGGTGATTTTCAAACCATTTACCATTGGTTTCTTATGAATATTTTCCATAAATTTTCCAAAAATTTAAAACCTGGAAATAAAATGAACCAATATTTATGTAACAGTTTTGAAAGAAAGAAAGAAAGAAAGAAAGAAATAGTGATAAATTTAGTAGCTCAATGCCCATGTACAACCTTAAGGCCCGGCCCCACAGCAATTACGGATGCAAAGAGGATGTAAACAAAAAGTCTTGCCATCTGTTGGAAAACGCTATGCATTCATTGTGTACTCATTGCATACATATTTCATAGCCTCTATCGAGCATCCGTCCACTGTGAATTCATCCATGCAAAAAGTTTTGAGCTGCACAAAACTTTTACAGATGAACTTTCCACCATGCAACAAATGTTCTATGTTTGTTATCAACCGTTAAAAGTCTGTTGTATTCATCTCTGCATCCTCTGGGCATCCTCGCAACTCACATCCACTACAACTGAAAACAGAAAGAGAAAGGAAAGATAAGGTACATTTGTACATGGAACGTCTATACATAGTTAGTAACACGGGAATAGAAAGGATGTAAGCATATACATGTACATCTCGTATATAAAGTATTCAAAACAGACAATGTGTTTCTTTCGGTTAGGCATATATGATGCATTTACTTAATTTGCTATGCATCTGCTCTTTCTGCTATGCATTTGCTTTGCAATTATCCCAGGTAACCCCTTCAGAGCTGTCATCCACTTCCATCCGATAGGTTCCCGATGAACAACAGTTTAATATCCCTGTTACATACTACCCACGTCCATTTTTTTTCCCGTTCTGTTCTCACAAATTTTGTCCACTTCTGGAGCAGATGAAATCAGATGGAGCCAACCCCGAAATTTTGCTATATGTTTTTGTGTCCATTGGCCAGTGGGACCGGACTTTTACGAGTGTATGATGAGAACTTCTTTCTCTTGCTCCTTGTAAAAACCATCTAATCAGCAACTTTAAATAAATTATTAAATTATTTCAGATATGTCATATGTCTTAATATCACATGATTGTTTCCTAGGTATGAACTACAACAGAAATCTCTGTTAAATGAAGAGGATGTACGTACAGTACCTGATATCTACAGTAGGAATCAACATTTGGATAATCAGATCAAAGCATTGAGGAGAGAAGTAGATAAGTACAAGAATGCTGCTACTAAAGCTAAGGAGACTTATGTAAAGTTGAGGAAGGAAAGAGACTTCCATCGCATGCACCATAAGAGGGTTGTACAAGAGAAGAACAAATTGATTAGTGATATTAAACGGTTTGTACATGTTGCTTCATAAATTAGGTTTTGTCTTCTAAGCATTAAAGTTGCACTCAAATATAAATTAATAAAGCTTTACCGTATTTGCTCTATTAGAAATGCACCTCTAATAGAATTGCATGTTGAGTGCTTTTTTAAATAAATTTTTACTTTTCATGTACTTTTATTATTTACTTTATTAATCTGAAAACCTAAAAAAAAATGTTAACTCTTCTATTCTATTCTGCAAACCAAAAATCACTTTTTTTGAATCATTAAAATATAACTTATTTTGCCAATAGAAACACATGTGCTTCTAATAGAGCAAATATGGTATTGGGATCTAGGGACTATGATGATGTGAAAATTCGGATGGTCTTGCAATTCAAACATATTCAGAAAAAAAGAAATATATTCAAAGAATTGTACTTTTTGCAGTCATTGAACAAATTGCACCTTGTACATTTGGATTTGATAATTCACTACGTTCAATTACCCACCATAGACTCCGGTCAGTCAAAATGACTATTTTGAACTGTAGGCATTAAGCAGCGATTCTGTTGGTGACGGAGAGATAGAATCCAGGTCAGGGGAAGCCCCATGACCTCAAGATTCTTTTACCCCTTATGTCACGAACCCACGTGACCGAGGCCACCTGGCAGCGCCACAGGTAGCCGTCCTTCACTCTTAATTTCTCTCCGCCTCGAGTGGAGATGAAATCTAGCGAGCTCTGCTGGATCGCCTGCTTTTTTTTCTGTCCGGATTTATAGCTTGGGTTGTTGCCGCTGCTCGGCATCCGACATGGTAGCT